AAGTGCAGGGGAGTTAGGCGTGGGCAGAAGCAAGGCTGACTTGAGCCTCATTTACTTAATTTAATCATTCCAATCTTAGCCTGTCCTACCCAGACACACAATTCTTTTCCAAAGATTCCTCTTTCATAAATCCTTTTTGAAACCAAAAACACATCTTACTCTTCTTGCCATTATAGAGATATTTCCTTTAATCACAGAATTTTTTAACCCTTAGAAATCTTTAAATTTTAGTGAAAGCTAAAAAGTAAACAATTATGGACTGTCTTTTACATTAACATTCTGTGGATTGGCAGACATAAACATTTTTCATCATTTCTAGAAATATGTGCTCTCTCACAGAAAATTTCTCAGCACCAAGCCATGTTTACTGAAAGACCCAAATATCTGCAGTTTGTTTGTAAAATGAAGACAAAAGTAGAGAAACTTGTGTTCAGTAATTAATGTTTCAGTATTTTATCTTTTTGGGGAATGATCTAGATATTGAAAGACTATGCATCATTTAGCTTAATTTAGCATATCTTTAAGATTTCAGGTTACCAAAAAGATTTGGAGAAACTATTTTATAAGTGTACCTAGAAACTTTTTATTTTACTTACATCCATTTATTTGTTTTCAACAATTGTATTTAGATCACTTATGAAAATTTTATCTTACCAAGTTATTTTTCTTGTTGACACATTTTGCTTGCAAGTTTATTTTGTTAATAAACCCAAGTGGAATGAAAGTTGTATATCTGCCTTATACTCAATGTTGATAACTCTAAAGACAGGCTTGTTTTAATTAAAACAACAACCTTAAACTAGCTTTGATTTACTAAAGATTTGTCTTAGATCATGTGAACTTGAAAAGCCTTTGGGTTATTTTCTGTTAAATTTTCACTCATGTAAGTCCTTTTCTGGTTTTAAGCCAATTAAATAGAGCTCTTTTACAAATTAAATTTAGTAATACCATTTGGAGGTGAAAAATAAGACACCTCTACAACACAAAAAGAGAGACTCACATGAACACACAGTAAACTTTAAAGATCTAATTGGCTTTCTTGAACGCTTCATGAACCAGGCAGCACCCTATCCAGCAAATCTCTGAGGTGTTGTACAAAATGGGAGGCTTTAATAAGCAGAAAATGGATTATTTCATCTTCCTTTGGAGGATGAAAATGACCCTTGTGGCAGATTACATCATTGGCACTGCCTAGAAAATTCCAGACTGACTGGCTAAAACTATATCCCTGAGGGAGGTTGTAAGTGTAAAGTTTAAGTAGTAAGTGGTTGTTCGCTAATGTGGGGTTTACACAAGTAGACTCCATTTGGGGCCTGCTGTTTCTTAACACCCTGCACAATTTTCCCCTTGGGGCCATGGCTTTGAGGCCAGTGGTTAAGTTCAGACTCACCTAAATCTGAGCTTGGTTTAGCATCATTGCCCAACTCAGCACTTTCTTTTAATTTTGTTTTAGCAATTATGGACAATAATCATCACGGGATTGTATGTTTAGCATGCTTATTACTTTGCATTTCTGTATAGATCCAATAGCCAGCTCCTTGGGAGGCAGGCGACTACTGGTTTTAAACTGTATTCGTAAGTTTTATCTTTAGTAAGAGATTGCAGCATGGCTGAAGTTCATAGGATGGGTGCCATTCAGGGATCAAACGTTTGTGTCATTCTCTGCCCCTTTACCCTTTCTCTTCTTAAACCACGTTTCCATGAGCCAGGGCTGTACTAGTAAACCCCATTCCTGACACCAGTGAATGTTTTGAGCATCCCAGTTCCAAGCTATGGATTGTGTTTGGGGTTTTCACCACCACCAAGCAATTTCCCAATACTGGCTGGGTGTTCTACAATTCAACTTAGTTCTGACATTATCTATCCAGAGATAGTATCAGACTCCATAGGGTAAGGTCTCAGTTCTACAAGACTGTCTCCCATCCCCACTTCAGACACCAATTGGAAGCCCACATTATCACCTGTGTTTCTGACTGACTACAGATTGGAGGTTTCGGTGACCTCCCTCCTTTGATTCCATTAATTTGCTAGAGCAGCTCATAGAACTCAGAGAAGCATTTTACTTACTAGATGACCAGTTTATTATAAAAGGCAGAACTCAGACAGGTAGATGGAAGGAATACAAGGAAGTTCCATGCCCTTTACAAGACCGCCACTCCACTCTCTGAACCCTGTCCGTTAGGGTTTTTATGGAGGCTTCATTACACAAGCTGATTGATTCTATTGTTGGCCATTGGTGAATGAACTTCCCTTCTCTCCTCCCAGGAGGTTGGGGGTGGGGAGCTGAAAGTTCCAAATCTCTAATCAGGTGGTTGGCTCTGCTGGTCACCAGCCCCTATACTTAGTTTCTTTCCAAAAGTCACCTCATTAGCATAACAAAAGACACTTTTATCATCTCATGACTTAGGAAATTCTAACAGTTTTAGGAGTTCTGTTCCATGTACAGGACAAAGATCAATTATATATTTTTTATTATAAATAACAATATCAGAAGCTTTAAAATATTTACCGAGAGTTGGTGCTTCTTCTAAGTGTGGAAGCCCCATTAAGTGCCCTGAGGATGCCCAGAGCTGAGAAACCTCACTCACACCAACTGCTGGAGGAGTCAGAGCCTCAGCGCTGTTAGCACTGGGCTTGAGAGAAAGACCATTTCCTGGCTGTGTGTGATTTTCACAAGTATTTAAATATCCTTTTGCAATTAGCCCTTATTCTTTAAAAATGAGTGGGAAACAACACTTCTGCTGACATAAGTGATAATACAATTGAAGCAAAGTTGGAAATCTTTACAGTTGCTGAAACAGCCAAAATTTAGTTAGCCTCAAGCCGTGCTTGTGAAGGGAAGTCCAAAATTCAAGATGATGTATGAAATGTGATCTCATTCAAGATCGTTTCTAAAAGATGAGGTGTGGTGAAGATGGAGGAAATGAAGCGACCTTTAAATTTTGGGGTTAAGGAGAATCGTCAAAAAATCATTCTCTGATTCCAAACACAGAGAGAAGTTCACAGATCCACAGAACTGATGACAGGGTGCTGTTTGCTACTGACCCCTTAGTACAAGATGGAGACGGCTGTTGTTCAACTTGGCCTTGACAGCCTTTGCCGGAAGTGGGTAAGTCAGCCTAAGTCAGCAATCACAGTCTTCCACCCAGTTCCCTGCAGGAGACTCACTCATGCCCTTCCCAACGTCTAATTAATTTCTTCTGTCTCTTAAGTATCAGCTCAAGTAAATGAAGCTAAAAGTTTTGTTTAGGAAGCCATTTTATATTGCCTATACAGGAGTACCCCCTTATCCATGGGAGATATGTTCCAGGACCCCCAGTGGATGCCTGAAACCTTGGATGGTACTGAACCCTATCTACACTATGGTTTTCCTATACCTCCGCACCTATGATAAAATTTAATTTATAAATTAGGCTCAGTAAGAGATTAACAACAATAACTGATAATAAAATAGAGCAATTTAAACAGTTTACTATAATAAAAGTTACATGGATGCGATCCCACTCTCCCTCTCTCTCAAAATATCTTATTATACAAATTTAATGCCTTTTGCATCTTAACTAAGCACTTATCCTGCATTGTGGCCATAACTTTTGCAGTTTGAGGTGCAACAGTAGAACTAACACAAATTTCTTTTTCCTTCTTCATGGTTTCACAAATAGAAGATTTGTTCTGATCATAGATCTTAACAAACTCAACATGTGATTTTTTTTCCCCTTTCCTTACTAAGCTGAGAACGCTCATCTTTTCATTTACAGGGAGCACTTTACAGCTTCTCTTCGGCTTATCTGAATTGCCAGTGTCACTGCTCTTGTGCTCTGGGGCCATTATGAAGTAAACTAAAGGTCACTTGAACACAAGCACTGGGATTCATCGACAGTCCATTTGATAATGGAGCTGGTTACTGAGTGGCTAACAGGGAGGGGGTGGGGGGGTGGGGGGCGAGATAACTGTGGACAAAGGGGTGAGTCATGTCAACACGTCAAGTGTGAGCTTGAGTAGATGGTGGGAGATTTCGTCACGCTCCTCAGAAAGGTGCACAATTGAAAACTTAGGAATTGTTCATGTCTGAAATTTCCTATTTAATATTTTCATGGAAATTGAAACCAAGGATACAGGGGGAAGGGTACTACTGTGCTTGACATTTAATCTACACTTTGAGGGTTTTATATATCTGACAGAGACATACTTAAAATAATGTGCCAGCCACAGTTAGGGATTTTTGTCATGTATTTTAGCTTTCTAAGTCTATTCTTCAGCTTTTGTATCCTTCTACTGGGGCCTTTTTGCATGCTTTTGAAAGACATTCATTTATGCTTAAATATAGAATATTTAGAACACACAGAAAATTAGAGAATTAACAATTCCTCTCCCCGATTTAACAAATGTTAAACTATTAGGCGTTGAATGCTAAATTTAACACATGTTGGAAGTTCCCACCCCATCCGAACACTCTTTTGATCACTCTTCTGATTTCTACCTCCACAGATTAGTTTCCCTTGTTCATACGAAAGGACTCGTGTCTAATGCAAGCCAGTGTCTGGCTTCTTTCACTGATGACAAAGGTGAAATTCATCTCCATTGCTGCGTATACCCGTAGTCTGTTCTCTTGTATTGCTGGCTAGTCATTGTATGAATTTACGATCCATTGCATGAGTTTACCAGCTTGGTTGTGCGTTCTCCTCTTGATGGGATCTGCTTTCTGAAGCGACACCCGCGCCCACACACATACCGTCTGAGGCAGTGAGTGGTCTGCTCCTCTCTGGGCTCACATCCAAGCAGGGGTGTGACGGAGGAAGGACAGAACTAGCACCGTGTTAGAACTGTCTCCCTCATTCTGTTCGGCTTATGTATTCTATTACTCTAGCCCTGCACACGAAGAGTAAAATGTTAAAGAAATATTGCCTGTGCCCAAGTAGCTCATTAAGTTCCCTGAAGAAGGTTCCCATCCTCTGGTCCAAGCTGGTTATGGCTGCCACTTGTCCTCGATAAGTTTGCTTTCAGCCCAGAAAACTTTTTGGTAAGCAGAGATAAGAATGGTAGAGTAAAAATACCTGTTAACAACTTGAAGTTTTTGCAAGAGCCTTGTGATCCAGCCTATGTGAGCAGCCCCTGAAGGCCAGGTGTTTCCAAGACGTCTACAGCCCCCTTTTACCCTTTAATCTTGAACCCTCCCACTTCCTCTTTCCCTTAACATAAAAGAAGCTTGAATTTTATTCCAAGTTAAGATGGTTCCTTAGGACGTTAGTCCACCATCTTCTCCATCTGCTGGCTTTCTGAATAAAGTTGCTATTCCTTGCCCCAAACACCTTGTCTCTCGACTTACTGGCCTGTCATGCATCGAGCAGTATGAGCTTGGACTCGGTCAAAAATGCGGCCTTTCATCTCTCCTTTCTGCCCCTTCCACTCATAGGCAGCCTGATTCCTGAGGCCCCAGAGAGCTACCAGGACTGCCTAGGCTGGTCTCGAGGGCTGGGGAGTGAGTGGTCTTCTGGGACAGCCAGATCCTGGAGAAGGAAGCCAGCGCCCTGGAGGTGGTGGCGGTGAGAGTATGGGGGCTTTTCACCAAGGTGTCTTTGGCCTCTTGCCCCATCTTTCTGTAATTAACAAGTACCTCCTCACTGAGCCTTCCTCTTGCTACGTCAAGCCCTGAGTCGTTATTCTAACTACCCTCAAGCCACTGAGCACCCTCCAGTGCTCTGCAGCCTGGCCCTCCTCTTCTCTGATGCGCTGCTTGGCAAAGGCCTTTGGAGTTGTGCTCCTCCTGGGTGGTGAGTGGGGGCCCTCGGGGCTGGGAGAAGCCTTGGGGCAGTCTCTGTCTGGTAGGGTAGGCTGGGGGCTGGTCAGCTCCTTCAGCTCTTAAGAGGAACTGAAGGAAGGAGAGAGAACTCGTGTCCAGTCTGGCATGGAGGGAGGAACAGTCTGGAATCTGGGGAGGGGCGAGAGCTGAGCAAAGGTGAGGGAGATGGGCTCGTGGTTTATGCTTGGTGGACAGTGAGCTGCTCTCCACATCCCCCATGGCCTCCCTCCCATGGAGGCCCTGGTGTGGGTATTGTGAGTTGAGGGGCATCTGTCCCAGCGTCCTTGGGAAGGGAAGGCCAGGGAAGCCGCCAGGGAGGGGGACAGGCTGCCAGTGCCTCCTTGGTCCTGTGTATCCCCCCAAGTCTTGATTTCTGGTAGGCTGTCCCTCTACTGCCAAGAGAAGAGCCCAGAGGTCAAAAACTGTATCAGGATCACATTCATGTGTCATTTAAAAATCAGTTGTGTGTCTGTTAAAAATCAGATTTCACACAAAAATCCAGATTTTTTTACTTCTCTTGAGAAATGGAAAGATCCGGCAGCTCTGGGTCCTGGAGCCTGAGAATAACTGTTCCCTTTACCTGGTGCTCACTCCCACCCACACCACTCATCGATGTCACCTGCCTGGCTCCAGAGGCTTCTGAGTTTGGGACCCTTGGTATCCTGCCACTTGGCAGACCAGAGGGGCTGCTTTTAGACTCAGGAACAGATCACTTTTCATGAGAAAAGCATGGCTTATGAGGCTCCCCTGCATGTGGCCATAGTAGGGGTCCCAGCATCCTAAACATCTGGCCTCTTCCCAGAATCCCAGGGTTCAGGTGTCTGGACCGTCCCTGTCACTGAAGCCTGACCTCCTTAAAGCTTCCCTACTCCTGGGGTTGGAGCCAACTCCTCAATCCAGAGACAGCTGGGAATTCTAGGAGGAAGGGGGAGAAATGGGGAGTGCTTGGGTGGTCGGGGCAGGGGAGTCGGAAAAGACCCTTGAAATGGAGGGGGTCTTCCCCTAAGGCTTTCTAGCTCAGCCCCCCAGAAGGGTAGTGTGATGAGTCAAGGATCAGAAGAGTGAGCTGGAATCCCAGCTGTGCCAGTGACTTGCTGTGTGGTTCTGAGCCGGTCAACAAATACTAAAGTCACCTGCGAAGGGCCAGGCACTGTACCAGGCACCAGGACAAGGCAGATGTAGTTCTCGCCCTCCTAGAGCCTGGCACCAAGGGTGGGCGACATGGGAAACACATAAGGACAAATAATTAATCATAGACTTCTAAGTCTATGTTCCCCAACCTGGACCTTAGGGTCTCTGCATAATAAGGAGATGAAACGGGACAGCTTTTTGTTTTTGCTTTTTTAAAGGAGGTACTAGGGACGGAACCCAGGCCCTCGGGCATGATGTGCATGCTAAGCGTGCGCTCTGCCACTGGGCTGTTTGTCACCTTCCCCCACACCAGCAGGACCATTTCTAAGTGGGATGACTATATGCTCTGGTTTGCCTGGGGCAGTCCCAGTGTCCCTGGTGTAATTGTTAATGGTGCCCCTTTCACTCTGAGAAGGTCCCAGTTTAGACAATAAGTTGTAAGGTCACTTGATCTTTAAGGGACATACCAGGAGGTGACTGGCCTAATTTCAAATTGTGGATGTCCTTTCAAGTGTCCTTAAGGGGGCATTTCTGTGGATGGCTGTCCTTTGCATTGTCGTTCAATTGTTTTTGAGAGAGAGTGAGAGACAGGAACCACAAAGATGGCAGTCAGGAAGCAAAGGAGAAGGACAGAATGTCTTTCCCTCGGGCAGGTAGGGAACGAAAGCCTTGCCCGGCTTGCCTGGTCTTACGAGTCTGCGCTGGCCCTGTGAGCATCCCCGTGTATGAAGGAGTGTGACACTAAACGGCAAATAGGAAACATGAGGACAGGTAGAGGGAGGGGCTGCAGAAGAAAGGCAAAACTTTTTCCCCAAGAACAAGAGGCTCCCCACTTTTTATTTTGACCAAGACTGGCAAATTCTGTACCTGGTCCTGCTTCCAGACGCGCATGTTCTCAGGTCCCAGAGAAAGTGAGTTGAAGTCACAGTGTGATAACTAAAACATAACCAAAGTCTGGGAGGCACAGGGAGGGAGGGATCAAACCTAGGAGGGAATTCCAGGAAGACTTCAAAGAGGAGGTGGCATTGGCAATGAGCCTGAGAGCACAGGGAGTTGCATTTGGCTGATAAGGAACGTACAGAGGTCATTGAGTTCTAAATGTACATCCCTCCTTCTTCACCGAGCTGGCAGACTGGGGACACAGAAGCAAGTACAGGCACCAGAGTTGCTATTTTTTATTTGTTTTGAAATATAATACATACACTGAAATGCGTAAATCCAAAAGGTGCAACTCAATGAATTTTCCATGTGTGTGCCCAGGTAACCACCCCCTAGACCAAGACGTAGAACATCTGTGGTCCCCGCTCCCCTTGGTTCCCTTGGGCCCCTCCTGATCACACAACACCTAATAAATCCGAAGATAGCCACTGTCCCACTTCCATCACTGTCAATTTGTGTTCAGGCCCTATTTTTCGGAAAATGAATATAAAACTATTGATTGACCACAGTTCACCAGTAATCACAATCAAGCAAATACTATATATTGGATGACATTCTGATTGTTACAAATATACTGGTTTTCCTGGTCTCCGTTGAGTCATAACACAAATACGAATAGATTAAGCCTATATGTAAGGAATGGACTGGGGTAAAGAAAGCCATGCAGATCAGTAGTTTAAGACCACAAGTTCACCCTCCCATTTATGCCAACAGGTCCCAAACTGCTACATCTCCAGCCACCTGATTCCGTTTCATCAGCAAGTCTTAAGAGACGCACGGCATTCAGGATTCTGTAAAGGAATGGCTCTCTAGAAGGAAACTTTTTTTTTAAATTTAATATCATATTTTTCACATTGCCCACTGTTACTCACAGTCGCAGCCTTGAAATTAAACTCCCTCTGCGTTGCCCTGTGAGACACCAAGAGGAAAGGGCAGAGCTTGCACTGTTCCCCGTAGGGCCAGGGAAGACGCTAGGCGATCCTTACGGGACTGTGGCGGGCACTTCTCTTCCACTTTTAAACATCAAGCCCCAATCAGCGTTTGATGAGCCTTTTTAAAACACTCTTGTTGGTTTCAGAATGTATTCGTATGGCATTGCCAAATTACCGTTGCTCAGCGGAGGGACCATGAGGTCGTATTTTCCATCGCCCTATACACTACATGCCATCTTTAGAAGGAATCTTCAAATGCCAATTAAAAAAAAAAAGAATTCTTTATTTTTAAAAAATGCCAATTTAACAAGGTTTGCCTGACTAATTAATTAAAATGCACTAGTATTTGTCTAGTGTCTTCATCTGAGTGGTGAGATGGTGGTGAGAACATTTTTCCAAATTAAAAAAGTCTCAGCGGGAGGGTACAGCTCAGCGGTAGAGCACATGCTTAGCATGCACAAGGTCCTGGGTTCAATCCCCAGGACTCCCTCTAAACATAAGTAGACCTAATTACCTGTCCCCCAGTAAATAAACATAAATTAAACAATTTTTTAAAAGTCTTTCCTCTCAGTTTTGCAATAAGTGGTTGCATTTCTATGACTGGATATAGATGTGGATTCTGAAATAGCTGCTTTAAATCGTCCAATTTTAATTGTTTATCTTCTATTTAAATTGTTCAGTTAATTATAGAATTGTCTATTTGTTTTGAAAGCATATCACTTCAGGACATTTTTCCATTTAACTTGAGGTGATCTGTTTCTTGAGTGGCTCAGAATGAGGGCTCCCAGGGGACAAGATGCATGGAACTGTGGTTGGGAAATGCTGCTTTTGTTTTGAATAGTTTTATTTTTGGTTGAATGTTAAACACACACACACACCACATCTCAAACCATTTGCATACATGAATACACAGATATTTATATATATATACACACATACACAAACAAACAAACAAAAGGTCCAGCGTGTCTCTATATACATGGGTTAGACTCGGTCTGATTTTTGAATAGCCTCACAAGTGGCCAATGCCAAGAGCTCCCCTCACAAAGTCTCACTTCCCTGTGACTCTTCTGCCCTGAAGCGCCTTGTGCCCCGACCCCTCCTGTGACTGTCTGTCCTGGTTGTGTCTCCAGACTCGTGGTGGGAGCCCCCCTGGAGGTGGTATCGGTCAGGAAAACAGGATGGTTGTACAACTGTGCGGTGGCCACCGGCCTGTGTTGGCCCATCTTGCTGGACAGTGAGTGACTCGCCTCCAGGCATCGGGGCCTTCAACCCTCCTACACCGGAGTGTCCCCTCCCAGCCTGCAGCCCGGACTCCACCACCTCCCCACAACTGAGGGTGTGCCCGTGAGTGTGACCATACGTGTTTGCCTTCTCAGCACCCCCAGAAGCCGTGAACATTTCCTTGGGCCTGTCCCTGGCGGCCTCCATCAATTCCTCTTGGCTGCTGGTGAGTTTTTCTGGGTTACAGGAGGGTCTCGAGGGAGGAACAGGGGCCGAAGGAGGCTGGGGCTGAGGGAGAAGTGGAGGGAGAGTTCCGAGGGGCCCCTTGCCTACACAGACCTCTGCCCTCAGGCCTGCGGCCCGATGGCGCACAGAGCCTGCGGAGAGAACACGTATGCCAAAGGCTCTTGCCTCCCTTGGGCTCCCATCTGCAGATCATCTCGACAGTCCCCGCCGCCCTGCCAGGCAGGTCCCTTAGAGACGGCAGTTCGGTGTGAAGCATATCCTGGTACTGCTTGTGTGCACAGAGCATGAAGCCTGAGTCTGGCCTCCCGTGCACAGGGCCCCTTCCCCGAGGCCTCAGCAAAGCCCAGAGGGCTGGGAGCACAGTCTGGCCTGCCTGGAGGCGTAGCTCATGGCAGGAGCCATAAGTTGGACGAGCAGTGATGGTTCTGTTGGGACAGAAGGGAGCTGCTGCTGGAGGCATGAGGGGCCTACAGTTGCCACCAGGGGCAGGGGTGCTTCTTGGTTTTCAGAGGAAGGGCTTTGGGTGGTGAAAATTTGTGGTGAGGATGACAGATCCGAGGATCCACGAGGAAGGCATTCACTACTGAGCTGCCAGGACTTCCCAGACTCGCTCCTCCCCTTCTAAGCGGAGCAAATGATCGGACCGTGGGATGCGTGAGGCCCAATTTTGCCAGCACTTATGTCTTTCATAGCAAGTGGTGCCTAGGGCCCTGCTACAGCTTCTCTCTGAGAGTCAGTCTTTACACGTTCATCTTCTGCGTCCTTGGGCAAGTGGCTTCATTCCCTGGGCCTTAGATTCCTCACTGGTAAATGGCCTTTCATAATTGAGGTTATGAGGATTGAACGATTTGATATGTATAAATTGCTGAGTCTCGTACATGTGATAGCCATTGTGACTGACTTTCTAGCTGAAGGCCATGTGTTCACGGTAGGAGGAAGATACAGATAAACTGCCCCATCTATGGCATTGAAGGGAGCAGTGGGCCCCAGTTAAGAGCCAGAGGCCACTCAAGGCACGAGAACAGTGCCTTGGACCAGAGAAACCACGATGCCAGCCATGGTGGGCTTTTAGTC